TCTCTCTCTCTCTCTGTGTGTGTGTGTGTGTGTGTGTGTGTGTGTGTTGTACAAGCATGCTTTTTCAGACGGTGTTGGTAATAATATTCCTGCTTTAGGAGATAGTTCGACACTGCTGGACATCTGTTTCAGCATGATTACAATTCTTTTGTCAGATCATGCTCTTGAATGCGATCTTGTTTTCTGCCTCTTTGGTAAGAGGATTCGTTTGCAGCCCCTGTTATATCATATTACACCATGCTTTCTCCTGTGCAGATCTTTCACCTTTCCCTCATTCAAATCGTTTCAGGTTTTTTTCAGGTTGAGTTCCTTACCTCTCTTCAGACAGTGTTGTGGATGGTGCAGTCTTGACTCTTGAGAACGTTCTTTCAAGTTGTTTATGGATTTCGTCCCCAGACAGTGCGTAGGTTGTGATGGATCACCTCTGGCTTTTAAAATGTCACCGGAGAGATGGGATATCTTGCCACGGCAGGGGTTGCAGACTCTCATGGTCATTGGTCAGCAATGACGTTGTGTGTGTTTCACTCTTTAATCCCCTCTCAGCTAGTCTCTATTGTATTGGTTAATATAATCTCTAGTATCTTGTTTGTCCAAGGGCACAGGTTCCAATTCCACTAACCGACCAAACGAATTGAAAAAGTGCGCTCGTATCTAATCCTTCTCTAATCCCTAAAGAAAATTTTGGTAAAGAGGGGAGTCAAACACATCCATCTGTACATTGGCAGGTGAACACCGAGGTGGAACCATTTGCGACAAGTGCTTTACTCCTCTCCGATCCACTGATGACCCCCGCCCCCCCACCCCCCCTCTCAGACTCCTTAGCCTGCACACCAACGCATTCCATACAGTTCAGAATCTGTTTCACCCTTAGCTAGCAGCCTAGCTCAACTTCTTGGGACTCCCTGTCACGTGTCAACTAGTATGTTCCAAACGTACTGAACTCAAACCAATCCCACGTTGTGTTCGCCGTTGAATTTCTTGTTCTTACTCTGATGGCTTCGGCGGCCGTGATGGATTCTGTCACTGTGTATCCGAGAAACTGAAACTGTGCATTAATTTTCCTCTTAAAAAAAAAAAAAAAACAAAAAAAAAAAACGGTGCATTTCGCTTTGAAAAGGCTTCGGTGACTATGGCTATTGAAGGTATGGCAAGACTCAGCTGGACTGGGTGTACCAGCACATTGCCAAGACCTGTTGTGGATCCCAGTACCAGTAGTCATTATACGGCTAGCCCAGGCGTGGTGGTTAGCCAGGCTCTTTTTTTTTTTTCATCCTTGCGCAGAGGCCATGCTAATCTTCTCTGTATCGTTCCAATTTTAACGGATGTCCCGAAGGACGGTTAGCCAGGCTCTTAACTCCTAGGTTGGTCTAAAAAACGCAAATATGTTGGCACACTGCCAGCCGGAGGTAAGGTCACTTGTGCACAAGGCATCAACCTGATCTACCTTTCGGGGTCCACCATTTTTGCACAGGGTGTGTCTCAGGTCTAAAACAGCTCTAGCAGGGCAGAGTAGCAACGAATCATGTCTCCAGAAGGTCTGACTCCATCCGATTCAGTAGGTGGGAGCCAAACCTTGGCTGAAGTTTGCTCTGAGAGCCACGCCCTGTTCGCTGCTGCGCTGCCTGCAGCTATCGCTGTTATGCCTTCATTTGCTCATTTCTCCTCTTCTTTCTCTTGTGTGTAGTTGCACCTCGGCCTCTGTTGCGATCAGATAACTACGTGTCCTTGGGAACATATCTTAGTTAAAATTGGAATGATATGGAGAAGATTACCATGACCTCTGCGCAAGAATGACACACATAAATCAAGAAATGGTCCAAATTAACTCTCCCCCCCCCCCCCGAAAAAAAAAAAACCAACGTGTCTGATGACTCTGATCCCTCTGCAATGTCCTGTCTGGCTAGTTGGCAGGCTGGTTGATGGGCTTGTAACAATTATATACAAAAATGAATAAATAATAAATATTTGAAATTGTGAATATATAAATAATCAGAAGCATTAGTTAATTCAACTTAATTGCACAATCTTCTCTGTATCGTTCCAATTTTGACAGATGTTGCAAAGGACAGAGACCTCAACTCTCCCTCCATCTCCCACCTGGAAATGCTGCGTTGTTTATATGCTTCCATGCCAGGTGACGAGGGGCACCAGGCCGGGCAACCCTGCCGGTCGCCCTCGCAGGGGTACACCAGGCACGTAAGAACTCGGGGAACTTTTTATATTTTTTATTTTCGGCAAGTGGGGATTTTCTGCGCCCACGGGACTGTGTATTCTGATTTTTTTTTATTTGGGGGGGGGGGAGGAGTAGGGTATAAATGGGACTTGAAGGGAGGTGCGGTAGGCCGGTAGCCTGATTTTTAATTTTCTTTTTCATCGTCAAGTCAATAAGGAATTCTGAGCCCTTGTCCTTCCACAAAGTAGTTGTGCGCTTCAGCAATACCGCCAGCCTGTCGCAGTTCGAGTACCCGTGGAACTTCATCGAAGCTCGCTACGAACCACCCGTGGGCCCAGCAACAGGTAGAGGTGTAGGGACTGTATTGTTTTGCTCATCTTGTTTGCATGAAGTTGCATCTGGATGCAAATTGAATGGCCTGTGTGCGGCAGAGTAGGAAAAGATCCAGCGGCCTAGCTCAGTTGGTAAGGCACACAAGTGGCATTCAGGAGGTCTTGGGTTCAATCCCCATTGGCCTCATGTACCTTCCTGGGCAAGCTTGGCGCCCGCCACCTAGAGATATGCCGTTGGCACCCCCGAGTGGCATTGAGCAGAGACTGCTGATGTTCATAGGGGGAGGGGACCGGAGGGGGAGGCTCGGTGACTGGCCCATCGAAGAAGCTCGGTCCTGATGCTACCGGCTGACCCCTGGCCGGTATCACCCACCTGCTGTAGCAGGTATCCCACCTGCTGGTGGGTGCAGCTCCCGCATGTTCCCTCGTTGGAGGCTTGAGCACGGATGTGGCTGCTACGGGGTTCCCCGTAATACTATAATGACAATAAAAAAAGGCCTGAAAGGCCGTCCTGTCCAGATTTGACAGGTAATTGAATTGGTTGAAAAGTCACCGGAAAGCCTAACTACAGTAAGTAGGAAGACCAGACTGGGGGCCTCGTTCCACTTCCCAACCTTCTAAATGTATCTGGAGCTGATATTAGCCCCGATCCACTCAGAATGTTGGATCAGTCCACAGGTATCTGGTACAGCAGTCAGTTCAGATTCATGTAGAATGTTAAGCAGGGGAGCGTCCTGGGGCAAAGTGGACCAGGAAAGTTTCAAATGTGGGGACCTTTTCCCACAAATTCAAATTATTTTCAGGCTCTGCGATCTCCAAAAAGCCCGCTCTTACCAACCTCAGGCCTAGCTCGTACACTCGTGCACTGTTGAAATGCAGATGCAGACCTGAGTTCGAATCCAGATGATGGAACTAGGTGAATTCCCACCCTGAACTCTCTACTTCAAGCCTGACTCACATCGAACGGAGAGTGGAGGGGAGGGAGACCTGCTGTTGCACTGTTCTGCCAATTGACAATGTGGATTATGGTGGCCGTGTAGTCACAGAACGTTGTACAACTGGCACCAACTCTTTTATTGATTTTTTTTTTTTTTTTTTTTTTTTTTTTTTTCCAAAAGGGGGATTCATTTTTTTTTTTTTTTTTTTTTTTGGAAAGCTTGTAACTTTATCGTTCAAAATGATGAAGCCGAGGCCGGGGACCTCACAATTCAACCCGGGGATATTCTGGCAGCCTTAGCCAGTTTCGCTTACGAGCCCAGCTCGGAGATATCCTTAATACTCCTAAAGCGTGTAGCGGGTCTCGCGTAACGCTCCCACGAGACCCCGGTTGCCAGTGTTGGGAAACTTGACGTGGTGAGGGGCGGGCCCACGGGAAAACTGCTTAGTGTTTTCCGAAACGGTGGGCGCTGGGGGGAGTCCGAATTTAGCGCAGGGGCCGGGGAAGATACACTGCCTTTTTTTTTTTTGGGTGGGCGGGGCATGTACCGGAATGAATCTCGGCCGGGGACAGGGGAAGATGCACTGTTTATTTTTTTTTGGGTCGGGGGGGGCAGCACGCGACGTCGGCGGGCCTTCGGGAGCGTTCGGGTGCATGTAGGCCAGTTACAGCATCTCCCGCGTTCGACAGTTTGCGGGCGCGTTCAAACTCGGCCATCGTCTCCGGGACCGAACCGCGGGCAGTGGGAGCGACGAGAGAGAGAGAGAGAGAGAGAGAGAGAGAGAGAGAGAGAGAGAGAGAGAGAGAGAGAGAGAGAGGGAGAGAGCGAGTACTTCAACGCACCGGGTAACAGGTAAGTCTCCAAGGCCGCGGCTGGCCTCACGCACCCTCCATCGAAAGCATGAGCAAAACCGATCGAATAGTGTGTGTGTGTGTGTGTGTGTGTGTGTGTGTGTGTGTGTTTGTGTGTGTGTGTGTGTGTGTGTGTGTGTGTGTGTGTG